AATCCTGTACTCTTTTGAGAAGATTTCGAACCCCTCTATTCTTTTACTCTTTCTCTTAATGCAATATTATTCAGTTATGCTTTGTGATCCCATAATCATGTCTGAGTAATCTGATAGTTAAGTTAGGGCTTTTTCAAGGGTTGATGAAGAGATTGTAGAATCGCAATTCTGTTAGGAATATCTTTTGGTTTTTCATCTCTGCTTGCTTTAAAATCGAATTTCTGAGACACATCATCTAGAAATCCGAAAATCGTAGGTTGTTAAATATATGTGAGAGCATTATTCATAACCCGAACTAGTATTTGATGAGCAAAACAACTTAGTGCAAAGAGATTTGGCTTAGGAGTTTTGTAAACAATTGAATCTGATCATTCCTGCATGCTTAGGTTGTTAGGGTTTGCAAAGAGATTTGAAACTCTGTGATTTAGGCATAGATAACTTTTGCAATGAGAATTGATTAGTTATACATCAGTGATTCATGTTTAAAATGGTTCTTAATCATTCATGATTTCATGCATTCTACATTCTTGGATTCAACCTGCGAATTGTTCTGACTTAGCGCTTTTAGTCTTCTGAAACTTAGATCATCTTACAAAATCGTTTGCTTACTTTTATTCATTCATTCGCATTACATACATCATATCTTGCTTAGCTTAATCCGAACCTACATTCAATAGTGTAGTCTGTATTACTCTCTTGGGATTTCGATACCCCTTGTACTACAAATGCTTTTGCTGTGCGCTTGGAGTAGTCTTATTTGGGTAAAACATGAATCCTATCAGAAACCTTTGCAGTCTATCTCTTTCCCTTGCTGCTCTTAATGCTCTCTCCACTTGCATAATGTTGTGTTAATAATCCAGAAGGTTTTGATTGCCTCTAGACCTCAAGTTCATACACCAATAAGAGGAAGAGCAAACTTTCAAATCAGTACCAAACAGAAAATAGCAGCTTAATCTCAAGCAATCCACAAATCCTAATGCTTAAACTAAACCCATATGGCAATGGCGCCAATTTGATAACAGTATTTTATGCTATTCAAATCCTAACACACTCATGTCATTATAGTATGAAAGGTGTCAATCCATCTGAGTTCATAAGACACTAAGAATGCAGCAGTTCACTTAAGTCAAGCCAAATTCAAGAAAGCAGTTGTGATCAGACTAAACAAGACTAAACAGCACAGATTTAAAGCAGGAAATTCAAATATATTAAAGCAAAGATCTAAGATTGGGGTTATTGACTAAGAGGGGATTAAAACTAAACTAGTGATGCTTCAAAACCATTCAAACAATGCTATCTTTTAAGCATAGGATTAACATTTATAACTAGCCCAAATCCTTGATACTAATCACTTTGCAAAGCACATATTCAAGACAAATTCCTTTACTCAAACACATGATCAGCAAGCATTTAAAACAGAACTCCAATCTTATAAAGCTAAAATGCACCTTAGACATCTAATTCCTTAGGCTAAGAGAACAAATCCTCTAAAAGACTCGCTGCATCATTTCATCAAACACTTATCAGGCATAAGAGAAAGCCAAGGTACTAAACAAGTCTGGCCAAGACTAATCTAGTGTTAAGCACATCTAATAGAGAGAAGACAATCATATTAAGCATAAGACATCACTAATCTAATCCTAAAACCCTTCTAATATATCCCATCGTAAACCCTAAATAAGACTACTCACTAGTCATAATCAAAACCACAGATTCCAAAGAGAAATAATGGTTAAGCATGATTAAAAAGCAGAATAAGCAAGAATAGATTAAAGGCAAAGGAAGAATTTCACTAAATCAAACTAGTTCTTACAAAGCAAAGCTGAAAGACGAAAGGTTTTTAAAGCAAGAACAGAAGAAAATTAATAAGATCTAAGTTGCCTAACCATTTTAGGACTTAAGTATTTATAAGGGAGCTTATAAACCCCTAATAAACCAAGAATAAACCAAAAATAAGCAGACTCGGATGGACCATATCGGCCTCTCACATCGATACACACATCGATATTGAGTCTTCTTGTGGGTTGTATCGATATGGCCTGGTCGATACGGTGGTCGATATGGAATGCTTCAAAAGTGTATCGGCTTGACTCTCCTTGGTGTGAAGGTCGATACAATTGCCCTTTTGTTAAGGCATACAGAGCAGATTCATGTCGATATGCACATTTGATATTGTCCTGTCTCCGGTGTATCGATATGGGTGATCGATACACTGCTCGGTATGGGTCCATCAAGGTGTATCGAGGTCCTCCTTAGTCGATATGCTGCTTCTGTATATCATGCTCTTGTTGTATGGATATGACGTCATCGATATTCACCTTGGTATGCTCCATATCGATCAGATCACATCGATATCATCATCGATATTGGTCCGTCCGACCTTGTCATTCTCCTTTCTCTATTCCCAGCTCAAATCCATTGCACCACTTGGTCTTCAAACTCCTTCTAGTACCTGAATTAAACTCCAAATGTATGCAAAATGAAATGCAACTCCTAAAACTACACTAACTTCTAAATGTATGCAAATGAGACAAGAAGAAGCAAAATATGCATGCTAAGAGACTAAAACTAGTGATGAATGCATGCTAAGATGGTATAAATAATAGAGATATCAGGCAAATCGGGCATAAGGAAGGAAGTCTGGGCCGATACACTGCTCGGTACAAGCTTCTAGTTGCAGACAGTGATGCTGGAACCACCGCATCTTTTGAACCACTGACCGGATTGACTTGATCCAACCTTCGTTGGAAAGCTCATTCGATCATCTTCAACTTCTATGAAGGAATCTGAGGCTGAATCATACTGGAAGACCTTCGTTCGAACCCATACATTTCATATCGATCTGTATATTGGACAGATTTCTCTCAGCTTTGGTCGATACAGGGCTTTGGTGCAGCTTAAAACCCGTCATCTTGGCCATTATACTTGGTTCTTCATGTTTTCATCATTCACCATTCTCCAATTGTCCTCCATAACTCTATTTAGACCTGAAAAACATTCCAAATAATGCAAAACATGCAAATGTTTAACCTAAAACCTATTATGTCTGATATAAATGCAATGTGACAAAATGTAGTGAATTAATGCATGAAATGAACCAAAACATGAACTAAATTCAACCTAAAACATGCTAATATGAGTACATGAAGTTGATCCACATGAACTTAATGGGACATATTCAAACCAAAAGTGTAGCTGGTCGTATGTACATGATCAGATCTTTCACATTGCAGAGCATCCAACCACTATGGACATGAAGCTTATGTTTCCCAAACTTATATATCAGTTACTCGGGTCTCAGAGAACTGTTGCATCTCATCGGGATGATGGGATGATTGAAGGCTATCCAATGAAGATCAAGAAGGATAAAAAATGGCTGGCAAAGGGTCCGACGAGGATGCGACGCAGTGGTTACCTTCTCTACGAGCTGACCTCGATGAACTAACAAGATGTGTCCACTGGATTCAGCATAGAGGGTTCGATGGGATGCTTGAAAGCTATCCAATGACGATCAACAAGGATAAAAAGGCTGCTAAAGGGTCCGACAAGGATAAGCCGCAGTGGTTACCTTCTCTACCAGCTGACCTCGATGAACTAACAAGATGTACCCACCGGATTCAGCGTAGAGCTAAAGGTAAGTGTCTGTCTTCCTTTGATACTAGTGAATTCTGGTTAGGTGTTTTTGATCATTATTGTTTTATCTGAATGTGTACTCAGGTAAAGGGAGATTATAGATTTCATATGAATCCCAAACCAGTCGTCTTAGACTCTGATTAGGAGGAGTTATTTCCTGTCTCTCATGAGGAAACGCCAAACGAAGGGCATGGAGCTATTGGTACGGACTGACTAGATTTTCTGTCTTTTTTTTTGCTCTGTTTGGTTTCAGTGTCTCAGTGTCTGTTAAGTTTGGCCTTCATAGATTTAGTACTAAAGGTGTTGTGTATTTTACTTTTGGCTAAACTTTTTGTTTAAAGAACCTTATGCATTTTGAATTGAATGGTATTTTGGTTTTCGTGAATGCATTGTGGTACTTTCTCTTTCTCTGCTCTTTAAATCTGATTTTGCAGAAGTATTTGAGTTATCACATTGAGACAAAAAAAAAAAAAGTAAAAGATTATAAGTTTCAAGGTTCCTAGAACACTGAAGCTGTGTGTACAACTAAAGACGTGGGAAAGGAGAACCTCTAGCAGAGGTGATGTGGCATGAGTTAAGGAGTTGTTCCTGAGGATCACGCAAAATACCAAGTTGCTTAACTTGGTAATTTAGAAGATCTGGAGATATGGAATGCATCTGACACCATTTAGGAGTTAGGACGGATGATGTATATAGAGTTTGGATATACTGCAGCTAAGGTTAGCCGTGTGATTGGGGGTATAGCACATTGAGAGGTCAAGTGAGATTTGGGGTTTTCGGTGAGTGATCATTACTGTTTCTATGGTTAAGTAGATTAGAAATTGGTCAGTATCAAGTTAAAATTGTAATCTTGAGTAAATCTGATTAACTAAGTGTATAAAAATTGTTTAAGAGATTTCTAATAAAAGACATTTGGATTTGCATTTAGATCAGTGTTACTGGCGCGTAGCACAATAACTCTTCTGCCAATGGCCTCGGCAAAGAGGCACTTTAGCCGTCGCTTTAACTGCAAATTCATGGTTTTGAGAGTTGAACAGACAAAAAAAGAAAAATAATATGTAAAGCAGAATATGTAAAGCCCCATTGAAAACACGGATTTGAAACCTAACGTCGAAAGGGAAAGGTTTCATCGATGCTTGATTTTTTTTCCTTCTTTTGTTTGCTGGCGTGGCAAGTTGTGGGAGAGAATTCACCTGTATTCCAATTCCACTCGACTACTCAAATACTACTGGACTATAATAGGAAAAAGATATCATCAAGACAAGTAAACCGTGTGGCATTAATGCAAAATCGCCACTGTTAAATATATAGTTTTAAGATTAGTGAAAGACATGAAAGAGAGATTTAATTTAGTAAAAATATTGTCCTTAGGAGCTTCCAGAATTAGTAGAATCCATGACAAGTTCACTCTCTTCCAACACAGCCGCTTCTTTAATCTCTTGCAACATCTTCAACACTTGCCCCATCGTAGGCCTCTGCTCCGGCGAAGCCGAGCTACAAGCCACCGCGACTTCCGTCAACATTCCGAACTTATCTCTATCCTCTCTCCAAGTCCCATTCTTCTCACCTTCCTCTCTCACTTTCCTAACCCATTCGATCATCTCATCTAAAGGAAAAACCGGAAGCTTCGAAGGTTGTTTCCCTGTCAAAAGCTCCAAAAGAAGAATCCCGAACGAATAAACATCGGCTTTAACCGATTGATGACTCAAGCTCTTGTGTCGAGCTTCAGGAGCTTTATAAGCTTTTGCATCCTCGTCTTCTTGTTCACCGTCGTTTGATGTTAGAGGAGGGTTTGTTGCAAGAGCGACGAGACAGTAGTCGGCGATACAAGCTTCGAAGTCTGGTCCGAGAAGTACATTGGAGGATCTGAGGTTCCCATGAACAAGCTGCCATGCTTGGTGGATGTAAGAGAGACCTTGAGCTACGTCTTCTGCTATCTTTAAGCAAGAAGTCCAATGCAATGGTTTTGCCCTCGACGATTTTGTACCTACACAATAATGTGATATAAACATATGCTGCTCATAAACCAAATCGAACAAAGCCAAGAGGTGTTCATGACTTTAGATTTATTATTTGAAACCAAGAAAAATTAAAACTCTCAAACCAATTTGTATAGTGTACATAAATCGAAATTTATGAACATTTTAATATTTTTAAAGATATATTATGGATATATAAATATTTATTTATAGTTTTCTTATTATTTAATCTAAAAACTAAACCAAATCTAATTGAACCAAACCTAGTTATTACAAAAATTAGACCAATTCGACCAAAACCAAAACGCAATGAAAATGTGTTAATAACTTGTTGGTTTTTTGTTATTTTAAAACAAGAAAAACCAAAACTCTTAAACAAATTATTATCGGGTAACTTAGCTAAAACAAACCAAATAAATTAAAATTTAAGAACAATTTGATATTTTAAAAGATAGTATTACGTATATAGGAATATTTCTTATCTGATATCCAGTTACAAAATATATATATATAGATATATATTTCTTATCTATAATTTTTTAATTTTTAATCCAAAACTAAACCACAACCAGTTAAAAGTTAAAACAAACCAAGCTATTACAATTTACAAATAATTAGTTTAGTTCCCATAAAACCCACATTAACCACAGCAAAACGAAAAGTTAAATCTAATTGCCCATAAGATGTTTTAAAAAACCGAAACTCTGGCTGTTCTGTTTTTCATATATACAGTACATAAGAACATGAAATGACTAAAATTTCTAATAATCCCAATAGATTATGGATAGTCATTAATGAATTGAGATGTACGACTAATAAGTAATTCCACGTGGCCACTGAGCTAACTGTAGAGCAAAGTAAAGACCTCGGAAGTAGTACTAATTTATTACAAGTACCAACCAGGTGCTTGATGTCTTCAACGATAACGTACTATATCATTTATTAAATTCAATGTTGTATTAAAATTAGAAAAATGTGTAATTGCGTGTAAAAGGGCTTACGAGCTTACCATGGACGAGCGACGAGAGGCTGCCATTTGGCAAATAATCATAGATTAACAGCCTCTCTTCCTTTGCCTGGAAATAAGCCCTTAGTGGGACCAGATTCGGATGCCCTAATGCCCCAACTGATTCCATGTGACGCTCAAATTTCTCTCTTCCTACACCCGCCAATCTAATGGTGTCTAGTCTCTTAACCGTCACGATCAAACGGCTGTCAAGCAACACCTTATAAGTGGTCCCCACAGTTCCTCTACCCAATAACTCAGCCGAAGCTGTCATTAGCTGGTCCATCGTATACACGTGGGCCTCTCCCGCACAGAATACTAAGCTCCCACTCTTCGCCGCCTGTAGCTTCTTCACCTTCTCCTCTATCTCACTCTCTTGCTCCACCTGTATCGCCGCCGCAACCTCCGCCGTCTCCGCCGCGTAGGATGCAACAACCGCCGTCGATTCTTTCCCTCTCTCCTTATCGTTTTTGTCTCTCCGTCTCTTCACGGCGGCGATTAGGCAACCGACGGAGATAAATAGGAGAAGAGCGGCCAATAGAAACCCTAAAATCACCGCGAATCGCGAATGTTTGCCATGGTTCGACCGGGATATCCCCAACTCTCCGATGTGTGCCATATGGCCGTGCAACATAGGCGGTGGTGGCGCCGCCGTCTTCTCCGGCGGAGATTGACTGAAAAACTTGGACCTCGGATTGCATTCCTTGTGAACGATCTCGCCGCAGAGATTAGGGTTTTTAAGAAAAGATGAAATCCCAAATCGTAACAAAACGGCGGTGACCGGTACAGGACCGGTTAAGTTGTTAACGGAAACGTTGAAAGAATGTAGCGAGGATTGGTTTAGAGCAGGTACTGTACCGTTAAACAGATTCGAATCGAGCCGGAGGTAAATCAACCGGTCGGAAGAGACTAAACCGGGAGGGATAGGACCGGTGAGTTTGTTGAAAGAGAAATCAAGGGTTCTTAACCTGTGAAGCTCGAGAACCGAGAGAGGAAACGAACCGAAGAAGGAGTTATGATCGAGAAATAGCGATTTCAGATTAACCAAACCGGAGAAATCAGGTAAAGGACCGATTAGCGAGGTGTTCTTGAGGCTGAGAACTCGGAGCTGATCGAGTTTATTGACTGAGTCAGGAGCGAGTTGGCCTCCGAGATAGAGATCCTCTATAACCAAACGAACAACTTTGTTGCTGTAACACGTAACACCCCACCATTGACAGAAATTAGAGCTTCTGTTGCTGAAGAAACCAAGCTTGTTCCATAAATCAGCTTTGGATTTGAACAGCAAAAGAGTATAAGCGTCGCGGTGAGAAAACACGCGTTTTGTGCGGTTTGAGGAGGAAGAAGAAGCAATGGCAAAGAAGAAACAGAAGAAAAGGAACCAAGTAATGAGGAAGTTGCAACGAAGCATTTTCTTGTGTGGGAATGTGTTAAAGAAGCATGTTGTTAATAATGTCTGAGATTTAAAATTACAGATTTGATTTTTTGCTTCTGTAAAAATCTAGAGAGAGGTGAAGAGAGCAGGAGGTACGTGACAAAAGGATGTAAGACACAAGAGAGTAGCTGTCGGGACTGTAAAGCTCAGAGTCACGTGAGTACTGAAAAAGTAAGAAGATGCATAATATAATTTGTATTATTCAAACTTGTAAAAACTGTCGAAGGAAGCAAAAAAGAATCTGATGGATTAAATATATTGAGTGCCGATTTTGCAGGGAGAATACGCGATCTAATTCCAAGACCGGATCTAACTAGTGTAACGAAGAAAGATATACTATTATGTTTCTCTTTTTCGATTCTAATTATGATTATAGATTGTTATGGCTGTTAATGTTAAGTTATATGGGCTTCCAACTCAAAATCAATTGGCAATTAGTGGATTGGCTCAAGTCTTATATATATTAGTGTTGGTCTCTTTAAACTTCCGATGTGGGATTCTAACACGCCCCTCGTGGATTGGCTCAAGTCTTATATATATTAGTGTTGGTCCCTTTAAACTTCTGATGTGGGATTTTAACACGCCTCCTCGAGACGATGGCTCTTATCAGCCCATCTCGAACTGAATCCCACTTTAGGACCAGTAATAAACCCTTTTTGGGCCACCTTACTTGGGTTAACAAACGAGGCTCTGATACCATGTTAAGTTATATGGGCTTCCAACTCAAAACTAATTGGCAATGAGTGGATTAGCCCAAGTCTTATATATATTAGTGTTGGTCCTTTTAAACTTCCGATGTGGGATTCCAACAGTTAACACTTGGGAGTTGGTTAATACTCCTACCGTTTTAAAAAAAAAAATATTATTTTCAAATTATTATTTGTTTTACAAAAATTGTTATTCCATATTTTTAATTCAGAATTTAATATAAAAAACTCAGTTTTGACTTTATTCATTTAATAATTTGATTAGAGAGAAAATGTTATTTTGTGTGTGAATAAAAGATAAAATAGAACTTTTAATGATTTTTTTAATTTATTTAAACTATATGAAAACAACATTTTTTATGAAACAAAAGAGATAAATTTATTTATTTTTCTCGTCACTTCTCTTTTTTTTATTAGTTCAATTTTACCTTCAACTGAAAATTTTATTGAAGATTAAACACGATTTGGATAATCATAAACATGGAGTACCGAACCAAATTCAAATTAGGATTAACATCATTATCTATCAGTAAATAAGAAATAATTTTTCATGTTATACGTTCTCAAGTCAAGCTTGATAGCTACATGATTATTCTAAAGATGGGATACCTAACTGATGTAGCATCGTTACCGTTGGATGTCTCTCACCTTCACGTGTTCAACAAGCAACTTCTTTAATTGAGTTTTCTTTTATTTTCTTTTAACTTAGGATAAGGTTTTCGAGATAAACTTAAATCTTCTTAGAGATAACTTTTATAGATGCGACCTGATCGCCCTAACTTCTATTTATTTGTCTTCTCCGTTGTTGTAAACGACGATTTGGGATTATTGATTTGGTTTTATAATAAAGAGCTTTCGAGCGCTGAGAAGAGCATTCTCAAACCTCTGTTTTCTGAACTGCAAAACAGAGTCCGTCCCTTTCTTCCTGCAGCTTCCGCCCCCTATCAGTTGGTATCAGACTAGTACGTTCCTGTGCTGTCATCGATCCTTCACGATGCCTCCGAAAAACAACAACAATCGTCCGATTGGTGAAACACAAGCCCCTCCCGTGGATTTGGCAGAGTTGCGTGCGACACTACTAGCTATGCAAGAGAATATCCAATCAACGATACATGCTTCGATTCAGGAGATGAGCGATGCCATATGTACTCGTTTAGATGCTCGCAACCTAGCTCGCATAGCACACAACGGTGACAATCCTTTTGGTCGACGTAACAACGGCGAATATGATTCGGAGTATGAAGAAGACGAAGACCATCGGCGTGTACGTCACGTCGATAACCGTTGGGAAGCGGGGTTCAAAGTGGATATCCCAGAATTTCATGGTGGTGTCAAAGGCGATTCCTTAATTGATTGGATCAATGCTGTTGAAGAAACCCTGGACTTCAAAGGTGTCCCCAACGACAGACGTGTCCCTCTTGTGGCGACAAAATTTCGTAACAACGCTGCATCGTGGTGGCAACAGCTGAAAGCAAGTCGCGCTCGCAACGGCAAGGATGCTATCCGCTCGTGGGATAAACTCAAACGCCACTTGCGTAAGACTTTTCTACCACAAAATTATGACCGTACGACATATACACGTCTTCAGAATTTGAAACAAGGGTCGCGGTCGGTGGACGATTACGCAGACGAGTTTTATTTGTTGATAACTCGAAACGAGATTCATGATAGCGAACTGCAAATCATTTCTCGCTTTATTGGAGGGCTTCATCCTCAACTCCAGAATGCGCTGGCTCAATTCGACCCTGTGACGGTAGCAGAAGCACATCGTCGAGCTGCATCCTTCGAACAGCAATTCAGATCTTCGACCTGGGCTTCACAACCCGTGAAACCTCGCGCATCTGATCAAGTGTCGGGTCCCGCGACCCACACTTCACGTGAAGAAGGAGAGGGTTCGCGACAACACAACGTTGGTGACGATATGCACCTTCGACGTTCTACACGACCGAATGCTCTGCGATGCTTTGCTTGTGGAGAACAGGGGCACAGGCAAACTGCGTGTCCGAAGAATTCGCGCAAAAACCTACTCCTTGAGGACTCCCCTGACGTGTCTGAACCAATTTATGATTCTCATGACGAAGACAATGGTGAGACCGAGGCTTCTTTCACCCCCACTCATGGGGATACGGGTACCCTGATGGTGTTGAAACGATCGTGTTTGGTGCCTCTAAGTCGCGGAGATTTGTGGCTACGGACTAACATTTTTAAGTCCACTTGCACTATCCTTGGAAAGATCTGTTCCTTTATAATAGATTCTGGCAGCTCGCGTAACGTCATCGCTCAAGAAGCCGTATTTCGACTTGGCCTGGCCTACGAGCGTCACCCAGCACCGTATGCGTTGACATGGGTTCAGGATGGTGTTGCCGTACATGTTACGCATCGAGCACTTGTTCCGCTCTCTATTGGTCCTCATTACAAGGATCGCTTCTACTGTGACATCGCTCCGATGGATGTCAGCCATCTCATTCTCGGGCGCCCTTGGGAGTTTGATCGTAAGATTGTTCATGATGGCGCAAAGAACACTTATAGCTTCATCTGGGAAACTCACCAAATCATGTTACTACCCTCACGCGAGCAATGGTCAAAACAACCAACGCACAATCACCCTTCCTTGCCACCAACGCCATCTCCACCTCCGTCACTTACGCCGTTGTTGTGTTCATTTGACAAGTTTCATGAGGAGTTCAAGCAAGAAGGATTCATGTTTATTATTTTATCATCCGCTACCACTGTCATCTCTCCACAACCATCACAACGTTTTACCAAAGTTTTGGGGGATTTTGCTGATGTTTTCCCTACCGAGTTGCCACGACGTTTACCCCCTCTTCGTGATATCCAACATCAAATAGACCTGGTACCTGGTGCAACGCTTCCGAATCGCCCTCATTATCGGATGAGTCCCACTGAGCATGAAGAACTTCGCCGTCAGGTTGAGGAACTACTTCGTAAAGGACACATTCGTGAGAGTCTAAGTCCCTGCGCAGTTCCAGCCCTGCTTATTCCAAAGAAAGATGGCTCTTGGAGAATGTGCGTCGATAGTCGCGCTATCAACAAGATCACCGTTTGTTATCGATTTCCCATCCCTCGCCTAGATGACTTGTTGGATCAAATTGGAGCGGCTTCTATCTTCTCTAAGATTGACCTGAAAAGTGGCTACCACCAGATCCGAATTCGTCCTGGCGATGAATGGAAGACAGCGTTTAAAACACGCGAGGGATTATTCGAATGGTTGGTTATGCCGTTTGGACTTTCAAATGCTCCCAGCACATTTATGCGGGTCATGAACCAGGCTTTACGACCATTCATTGGGAAGTTTGTGGTTGTATATTTTGATGACATACTCATTTTCAGTTCTTCCGCCACAGAGCACGAGCGACACCTTCGAGAAGTGTTAAGCGTCTTGCGCAAAGAACAGTTCTTTGCAGGACATCAAAAGTGTGAGTTCGGCTTATCTCAAGTACTATTCTTGGGATATGTGGTTTCTGATAAAGGTTTAGCGGTGGATCCATCTAAAATAGAAGCGGTGAAATCATGGCCTTCGCCGCGTACGACCACTGAAGTTCGAAGTTTCCACGGCCTTGCCTCGTTTTATAGACGTTTCGTCCCTCACTTCAGTACTATTATGGCGCCTATTACAAGTTGCATGCGTGATGGAAAGTTCAGTTGGCCTCCCGAGGCAGAGCAAGCTTTTGTCCTTATCAAAGAGAAACTCACGACAACTCCCGTCTTGGTGCTCCCAGATTTTTCGATTCCATTCGAGCTTCATTGCGATGCGTCAAAGTTGGGTATAGGAGCTGTTTTGAGTCAGTTGAGCCGACCAGTCGCTTACTTCAGTGAAAAACTTTCCGGCGCTAGGGGACGTTACAGCACTTATGATGTGGAGTTTTACGCAATTGTCCAAGCGATCAAGCATTGGCGACATTACCTGGTCCATCGTGAGTTCGTATTGTTCACAGATCACGATGCGCTACGCCATCTTGACAGCCAGGCTAAAGTCTCTTCTCGCCATGCTAATTGGATCGCGTTTCTGCAGCAGTTCACCTTCTCGATCCGTCATCGTTCTGGCAAGCTGAACAAAGCCGCAGATGCGTTGAGTAGACGCCATTCGACACTTACGACGTTACAGACTTCGTTAACAGGTTTTGAGACATTTTCAGAGTTGTACGTTTCAGACCCATACTTTGCTCGTGTGTTGGAAGATTTAGACATGGGTGTAGGATCCAAGTTTACTCGCCAAGATGGGTTTCTGTTCTTAGGCCTTCGTTTGTG